AACTTCTCCTTAGCAATGTACTTTTTCATTTCAGAGTTTATAAAAGGCGATAAATCAACCAAAAGATACAATCTTCTACGATATGCACGTTCCTCTCGGAGCTGAGAGATTACTTTCTCTGCGATCTGTTAGTTTTCCTATCGATTATCAGGGCCCAAACTATTGAGTCTGAAAGTTCGACGGGCAGAAATGGCAAAGACGGCGATTCGGTAGGTCGGCGTCGATAGCTTCTTCCCGCTGAAGCTAACCCTAATATATTGGATCGAGTTTACAGGGATGGAGTCACGTTGTGCGGGATAGAGAGCGGGTGGAGATCTGCGAAGGTAGGGGTTGCAAGTGAGGAGGGGGAGGGGGGGGAGGTAGAAAGGTTACGGGTCATAAACCATCCTCAGTCGCTGAAATCGTTCTATATGCGAGTTCGTACATGTATGCGAGTGTACGTGCACGCGCGTCCATCTACTTCCGTATCCGTACGATAGCACGTGTGATTCTCGCGCAGTACGAAGCAGAAGTTGTTTACTGCCTTCTGCGAACTTTTAAAGTAACGTAATCCAAGTGCGCGCGTTATACGCGCGGCATCGATCGATTCAATCGTGGAGTCGATGTGACATTTATTAATCTTATGAGATATCGATTTTGCGTGATAGAATGTATTTGACACTAGCGGAGAAATTGCAAGGAATACACTGTGCGGGCATTTGAAATGAGAACGTGAAATGAATATCTTTGCGAAATTTCCGCGAAGAGAAGGTAGAATCCTCTCTTATAGAACTGCCCTCGACAAACTCAGCAATGAATTTACCTCAGTCAGTGGCAGCGAGAAGTCATTTTTCTTCATATTAAAAATTCTTATGCATATTTTTAAAAGGACACTTAGTGTAAACCACCTGTATTACTATTATCAATCGGGATAATTTGTACCTATCGATTTTAGGACCACGTATGACCCGTGGAAACGCACTGCTGACGATTTAGGTTGAGAACCACGACGGGTGTGTAATATGAAGATAAGATGTCCCCCATGTTCCCATGTGCCAGGCTCCTCGATCGGGGATTATGTTGCCATCTACGTTCTCCCACCCCCTCGAACGAAAACATCCCGTCGTAGCACGCCGACCAGTCAGTCCAACCCCATTACCTTTCGCACTCTTACGCTCGTCATTTCTCGCGAATCTTCGTTTCTTATTCGTCGTAAACTCATCCGAGGGAAATGGGCGAGCGTTCATTTCTACCTCTCGAAATCACTTGCATTGTCCGCCGAATTGCCGGGACTTGTATTTGCGTTACGCAATTTCGAAGACAGTACTCCTTGAAATTACCTGCATCCCTCGACAACTTATGACACTCTTAAGAGAAAGGAAATTAGCGAATTTATATATTTATGTAACGCGTCGGAGAAATGACGCGCAAGATAGCACGCTCATGATTTTTTTAACGCATCGCGTTTTACGTTCTTATGGCCCGCTTACGATCGCACGCGCCCTGACTCCCATGTTATTTTACAGGGGTGGCTAAAGTAGATTTTTATGAATCCACCAGGAGTGTACACATCTCGCAGTTGGTGCGTTAACCTCTGCGTGATGTTTCCCGATCAGCTCTTTCGTAGCCACGTTCGGCAGATCTCGAAATACTTATTTCTCGTTGTTTTAATAATTAATATTTATATTTTATTAACGTTTGATAACTACCGTAACACTCCGCTCAGACGATTCATAATATTTTTAGAAGAATCATAGAAAGAGACTACGAATTCGGCTGTAGTCAAGATATAATAACAAATTTTTAAGAACAATTTTCGTGAAATTATTTATTAAATTTCAAGAAAATTATTCTTGAGGGAAAGCCTCTCCATTCCTTCTTCTAAATATAAAATATCGCATATACTTATGGTATAAGTGATATATGGTATATATATTATTACATACACACACACACACACACACACACACACACACACACACACACGCACGATAAAAAATATCGCAGGTCTACTTAAAATGATTATGACTGGTGCTAAGACCCTGTTCGTTTTCACGAAATATTCCCTCGATTTTCCAGAAACACTCTTATTCCTTTCATCCCTGACATAAGAAATCGTCAGCATTCCGAATGGTAAGTCCAGTGTCAGTCTAATGTATGTCCAGCATGGCGAGGGTGTGCTTGATTCATTTCACCCTCGGGGTCCCCGCTGGCGTGGCGCAATTCGCCACGCATTTCAGGAGTCCTCCCGCTCAACTCGTGCACGCGAATAAAAAATCCACCCTGCAAAGACTTTACACGGGCGTCATAAGCTGACGCACTTAATTTAAAGATCGTCCCAGTGTCGATTCGTCGAAAAGTCTCGGGGGCGAGGGTCGTTCCCCTCTTTTCCCTTTCTCTCCGGCTCCTTCCCTCTTCTTCCGCTGGTCGCAGTTCATGCAGCCTCGCGGGGGCGGCTTTACAATCCGAGCATTCCGCTTTACAGTTCATTTCGTTTGCGGCGGCGCCCTTTTCCTCCTCATCGAATTATTTCGAACGCGCCGACGGAAACGTTCTTCGATTGCGCCCGGCGTTTCCGAGGCGCCGCGCCGTCCTTCGCGCGATTTCGATCATATCGGGGACGCCCTGCTTTTCTTCCCACTATACTTGTACTCGCTGTTACTTGTGACACTATTCAGTGCCTGTGTTATCATTATTATATTTGCTCATTTACATCTATAGACTACCAGAATCAATTGTAGATTATTTTGCATACCTTTGACGTGTAACACAATTAATGTAATGTGCAATACAGATATACTGGTATCAATCTGTTTAATCGCATTGAATATAAATTTTAATACGGTTTTCATTCGACACTTAATAGGTGTTTTATTAATCCGTCAATTTCGCGACATTTTGCGATTCCGATCGACTTGGTCGTCGTTGACATAAGATTCGAGATGCCAGTAACGACAGGGCGAGGAAGAGAAAGAGAGAGGGTCGCAGCTGCGTAGGCATGTGGCAAATTGCCGAGCTGGCCACTGGAACCGTTCACGGAGGTGGAAGCGCAAAGAACGGAGTGGACCAGCAGGAAGGGCGAAGCGAAGGAGAGGACGATGTACGCTGCGGCGGTACGAAGGAACGATAGAACGCGAGGCGAGATGGAAGGCAGAGAGGCGGCCGGTAATCTGTGATTCAAAGAGAGCGATCCATCTTGCGACATGCCAGGATTCAATCGGCGGCATTTGTTTGTGAAATCAGTCCCGAAGGACTCTCCCTGTCGCTCCTCGTCTTCTCCACGTCCCTCCGCGTACGATTCTCCGATTGTCTCCGCGCGGGCACGACAAAACCCGCAGGACCGAAGGACGTGAATGGAAAACGCCGGATTTGTCTTATCGAGGACGGACTCGTGACTAGCCGGAACGGATAATACCGACAAATTTAGGTATCTTTACAACTACACGTCAGTTTTGTACGATGCGCGGCGTGCGTGTAGTAAATGTTTGCCGCGCGACTTGGTTTAAAACCGAAAATTAATAATTTATTCTTTGAAGGCTCCTTTTTAAGTAAGTTTCCAAGAACATTGCAGAAACATTGTTAGATGACGTCACGTGAAACATTTTCATCAGCGAGCGGCAAAGGAGCGCCGACAGGGTGTGCCGCATGATCGACGCCAAGCACAGGGGGCTAATAAGGCCATATATATTTATTCAGCTAGTCGGGGGTGGATTTTATATCCTTGGACAGGACTGAAGGACGGAAAGAGAACGAGAGGCGAAGGGAAAAGTGTCGGGGAGAGGAGGACGGCGCGGCTTAGCATTCGGAAAATACCGAGGATAGATTCGTGCGTCTGATCCGTGCCAGATCCCATAAAATGACCCTAGCACGATCGAGTGCCCGCCATACCGTGCCCGCGCCCCTGCAGTATCGCGCGCGAGAGGCTACCCCAGAAAATTATTGCTCTCCTTATACATTCGTTCGTACTGTCGAATTGGGGCCGAGTCGAATAAACTTGTGCCCTTTAGATACGGAAAAATAACGATAAAGACGAAGAAGAGAGTGACATGTACGATGGAAAAAAAGGACTGGAAGAGAACGGAAAGGGTACGATTTGTTTTCGAGAAACTCAGTAAAATTGTTCAATTGAAATAAATAAGTTGATAAAAAATATGATTACGATATAAAAAGAATTATACCTTTGAAAATAAGAAAAAAAATGGCATCTAATCGAATCTTCGTTAGGAAAAAAGTTGATCTCAAATGTGTAAAAATATCCATGAATCGAAGAAACGAATAGTATAAGAATGACAATAGCCGTGTTAAATATCAAACGCCTCACATCAGTAAAACTGCGGAGTCTTATCATTTCAGTTGCGACTGAGGAAAGATAATTTACAAAGATGTTACATATCTTGGAGCGTGCAGACTGGTCTTGTAGCACGCGAACATTGAATCATAAATACCGCGCGTTAGCCACAATTACCAGAAGAATAGTAACGGAATAACTTAATAAGCGGAATCAGCGGAATCGTTCGGGTGTACGCAACAGTGTTAACAGTGTTGCGCCAGGGTACATTACGCCAGACCCTCGGGCTCGCTTTCCAATATATTAGCAATTATTATAATATATTACACGCCCACGCGCACGCTTTTATAATAATTGCCGCGGTTAAATCTAACGCCGCGTTATTGTTTGCATCTTAGATTGTTGCAATAAATCTGTTGGGCAACGATGAAGTTTGCCGTGAGTATCAGAGCGTTACTGGTTGATAACATGCTCCGATAATGAAAAGAACATATGTATGTATTTTATATTTGCACATATATTTTTTTTATACGCGGTAATGAGAGTGAAGAAACTGGAAATTTTTTTTTACAGTGATAACAAATCATTATTGACATTTTATGCGCATATGAAATTTAATGTGCGAGCGATTTATCACGCTTCGTCGAAATAGAAAGCAATGCTCATCTACATAATAATATTACTGTTATTTTGATACAATTATTTCATAGCGAAAATGAGGACGAGAAGAAGATACAAGGAAATACATTTTATTAGTGTTTTGCATATTACATGTTTGTAAGTAAACGTATCGTTGCATCATTCGCGTGGCTACTGACTCGTCACATCACTGGGTCGATTCGGGTTCTTTCTGCTGGCCGTAGTGATAATCGAGAAATCTGTAGCCTTGCGTGAGCTGGGCCCCGGCGTTTGTGATGTGGCATGCGAAGAGCAACAAATTTCGCGGTTGTACTTTCCAAGCAAACCGCATGAATACCAAGGAATACAGGGTCAAGGCTAACAAATCAGAAAGAAACCTAAATCAATGAAGAAACTGGCGCGTAATTAGGATGCAAAAGTTGCGATTTAGGATCTTGTTATTTGATTATTATCGAGAAATGATTTTAGAGCGGTTTCTTCGTTACGTAGTCCTCTGAGACGTATTTACGAGAGTCAGAGGAAACTCTTTAGAGCAGCGGCCGCGTTTGAGAGATTAAACGTGATTAAACTTATAACATTTTACTGTAACATTTTATTTGCAGACTCGTTTTAGGTCGGTATGCACCCCAGACATTCGCAACGTGCCGCTCATTAAGAAATAAACGGTTATTTGCTGCGCTCGAGCAGCAATTATTTTATGGGTCCCTCTCGAAGCCCGTCCCCCCTCCCTCCCTCTGTTAGTCGCGCATCAACTCGCTCTGTCGCGATTATTAAGAGACGGTGAATGAATTCTTCGAAAGGTCTACCCCGGTGAAGCTATATCGAACTCACCTAAAGTCATTTTGCCGCTAATGATTTTCGGATGCTTTCGCGTGTCGGATATGGCCGCTATAGGTATCATCCAGTTGAATACCGGGCCCCAGAAGTGTGTGCTTTAAAAGTAGTTCATTTCCCATAAATTGTACTCAGTACTTTAACACGAGTGCTATTACCTCACAAAGCGGTACCAACGTAACATCAACGGTTTACATAATATTGCAAATTATTGCAGAAAGAGTATTGCAATTTTTAATTGAGGAAACACCAATTTAAATTATTTTATTTTGTGCACAGGTAATATAATAATATTTGTGAGTCAATCCGTTTATGTAAGCATGAACGTTACCTTAAGAAATAATCTTTGGTTTCTTTAGTTAGCAGAGTCTTCGACAGTCGCTTAGACATGACGAAACAAGTCGGAATACGATATCAATGAGATTTTTAATCACGTTCGCCACGAGATTATATGGTGTGCGGCAAATTAGCTATGTATTTGCTTCGTAACCTAAGCGGCTCCGACACTGACAGCTCCAACTGAAAGGCGTCGAGATCGAGCGACGATAAAACCAACACCAAAATACATAAGTTAATTTCTGTAACTTTTGTTACCGCGACTTGCTACGCGGTTTATCACAGAAGGTGATTCTGCTTATCATCTCAAGAATTCCTGATGGACGCTGATTTCAGCCACAATTTTCTCTTTGAGCGTGAGTTAATGCAATTACACTGTCACATCGCGTAGATTTCTTTCAGCTATTAGGTTTCGAAACTTTAACACACTTGTAAAACGCTGTGACGAACGCTGACGATAAGCAAAGTGACGTTATCGCAAAGATAACAAGGAAAGATTATATATTATTTACCGGGACGGAATAATGCGTTTTACACTTTAGTTTGAAGTAACTTTTTTTTAACTAACTCACGTCTTTTGTAATAATCGCGTGATCTTTTCAGTCCGATCTGTGACTATCGAACGCTAACTGCCGTCTGAATCGTCAGAAAACCGGAATTTCAAGTCGAGATTTCTCGCGTCGCTGTTTACGCTGTTTATGAGCCACGCCAGATATAGTTTCGTAATAGACGTGTATCTTTTCATGGTATTGCCAATGATCCGCATATCGAGGTCGCCTGCTTATCGTCACTTATTATTTATGTAAATGAAGAGCTATTATCATGTATGCACACAATATTGTATCTATTGCACGTTAAAATGCGTAAATATATGCATGTAAATATTGTACGCATTTATACGCATATAATTGAACATTTCATCCGTTTGTTAATCCGCGTAAATAAAACGCATTACGAATATTTACAGCATTTCCACAAATTTTTAACAATTTAACGTAAACAACGATGAATTTATAATAAGATATTTCTAAATTGTTACGTGTCTCGCAGCAGAGAATGTATAATTTCTTAATACACTGCAGTATATTCTTCATTTACGAGTACATATCACTCAGCTAATTTGTTCACTGATTGATTGCTAGACAATTTGCACATACCGATCCATCTCTTCTCACGACCCTTCATTATTCGTTAATCGATTTGCATAACGGTTTACATGCATATTTATCTCGATCGTAGCATATTTTTTTTTATATCGGCCTCTGGACGGCGCCACCCCGCCCCCTCATAATAAATGCACAGGTTATTATTTCGCGCGTATAATATTGATGGTGCTATGAATGTTGCATGGAGGGGTACGCGGCGTCCTGAACGTGGCTCAACGGGGGTGGAAACCAGCTCGCGTATGGGGGTTGTAACGGGAGATGCTGCGGGACGCATGCGCTGCCACGGGAATAGTATTATTGATCTAAGAAGGGGATGGACTATGGGACCCTCGAAGACCAGCAGTGTGTCGAGGCGATCCCGGCACCCTCGGCCTGGCGATATTTCAAGTTCGATAAGCGACCATGATCGCTTTAGCTTCGGAGTAATTCTTTTCTTTGCAATGCTAATGGACTAAACTATTTTGAATTTGGAAATTAAAATATCTTTAAGTGTAAGAATCTTCTCTTTCATTGATATGCATTTAAATTTAAGAGTTTCTTTTTACAGTATAACTATGCTAATAAATTTTATTTTCACTTACTATATTATTGTGAGAATTCAAGAGACATTAGTCAGTCAGCTATAGTTTACTATAGCTCTCATTTAACATCTAATATAATTTTATTTTCTAACTATGCTATGATTTGTGACAAACTTAAAGTATACGTATTTTAAATACTTCGATATTAAGTTGTAAAAGTTAACAGTTCTTCATTTATTGTTCAATATTTGTCTTTATACTTTCTTTAACTTTACTAATCTTATATCGAAATCTTATTTCAATATTCATATGCACAAGCCACGTTTTTCATGTGGAAGCGATGACATGAAATTTAAAAATAATAAAATTTTCTTAAGCTTGTAAAAGCAGGAAAAATGGGAAGAGGCGAAAATTCTTGTTTTGGTTCGTCCGTTGTATCCAATTTTCAATTTCGAGTTGCCCCGGCAGGCGCCCGGCGTACACGTACCTAAAATCGACTTTGTTTCCTGCATATGCATTCCCGTATGTAGCATTCGCACGAGTGTTTCTCTCCCTTTTCGAAAGCAAATCCTTATCCCGCGGTCCCTAGGTCCCCCAGGCCACCATCCGAGGCACTCAAGAGTATTGCCGCTATTTTCCGTCTCGCGTATTACACCGTGCTGCATTTTGCGATCCTCCCGGAATGTCATTTACACGCGACGTTCCCTTTGACGTGTATCAATATTTATTCTGGTTTCCCAGCCGCTCTCCGAGAATCTTCCGAGGTCGTTACATTTATAACATTTGACTCCTCCTATTTCACGAACATAAAAGTATATACCTCTAAATATAATATAGATTTAGATATAATATTATCCAAAACGTAAACGGTAACAGAAGAAAATGTTTCTTCTTTTTTCACTAGTATTAAACAAGTAGTCAACAATTTTATTCAACAGATTACAAAAATTGATTAAACTATAAACAAGGAATGCGATAAAGTCAAAATTTTCTTAGTAGCTCACGAAAATTAGAAATTAGAAATGCGCAATGTTATATTGTATGTACGTTTAAATTACAAAGAAAGACAATTATTTGAAGCTGGATCCATTAATTATTTACACGGGACGCAGAAAGGGGCTTCGCTTTGTCGCAACAAAGTTTCGTCCCTCTCGCATTGATTCTTGCGAGGTACAAAGCAACAACGCGCGATACATTCGCACGTATTTGATTTGTATTCGACTGGAGGAAATGGCGCGGCCTCTGATGTCTCTTGCTGACGGCGCTCCGAGAAACCTTTTCTACTTTTTCCGTCGCCGTTCCCGTTCGGTGGATCCCCTCGGTTCTCGGCCGACGCTGATCTGAATGCGTCCTACGTATTTGCCAACACCCCCGCTACGCTCTTTTCAGAGAGAACCGTCGACAAGCACTCGCCGTCCGCGCACGACACGACTTTCATCCCCCTGCGAATAAAAAGTCGCGCGTTCACGTGAGTCTGACTCGCATTCGACGACGAAATTATTCTTTTTCTTCTGGATGTTGATCTGTATCTTTCTTGAATAGAAATTAGACGGAGGAATAATAGATTAAATTTATAGAATGATGTTATATATATTCGTACATTTTAAACATGATATTGCGTAATTCGTCATGGCTAATCATTGCTCAATAATTACTCCCATAAATCTCAATTCTTACAATTATGTCATGCCAACTGCATATCGTGGTAGATGCATTCCTCAATATAAGTCGCGTTTCATTAAAATATCACTAGCGTCTAGTAATTACCGATTGGACTTAAACGAGGGCGTCTTGTCCCTCGGCGTATCCGGTCCCTTTGTCCGCGTATTCCGCTCTGACAATGCTTTTAATTACCCGCCGCGGTTCGGGTTCGATGTATAGATCGAATTATAGGCTGTGATCCCCGTCGTATGAAACGGACGCTGCTCCGATTGATATTGAGATAATTAGTGCACAATTAAAGAAGGAATAATTGCCAGATTCGACTGACTCGCTCGAATGTCTGTTACAGTGTGCTACAATTTATATTTCATTGTTCTTATCTTATATATCATTACGAGCAAATTAAGAACTTATAAAATTACGAATTACATTTAATTATACACCCCAGTCTCTCTCTCTCTCTCTCTCTCTCTCTCTCTCTCTCTCTCTCTCTCTCTCTCTCTCTCGCCTTCATTTTCCGAAAATTTCGGATATTATATTTGAGCGTTTTGCTCAATTCTATACCGAAATTACGCATGACTTAATAATTCATACGCTGTAATTGCATAGTCGCGCCACCCGCTATTGGAGTGTTGGTTTCTGTGCTTTTCGCGGGGAATAAAGGAATCTGACATTCTTGCAGGCGTTCTCTTGGTTACGCTCGTACATCAACGTCACTTAAAGTCAGGAAAATTTCTCTTAACAATTTTTCTCGCCGCGGGCCCAAGCGCAAAAGAAATTGTCTGCAGGTACGTATCTTTCGGCGCAATAGCTGGATAAAATATGTCATGTGACTTATATGGCGTATAAGCCAATGTATTGTTACCGGTATTAACTTTAGAAGAGTGCTCAAATATTTTCAAAATTAAATAACAGCACTTGAATTAGTTGAATTCAGTTTTAAATTAATTTAAATCGCGTCTTGACTTTGTTATGCAGATGATTAAACGATTAAGCTTTCGTATTCTATAATAGGAACTATTTTTTATATTTGTGATGCTATCCTTTTTTTGATCGCTCGTTCATAATGTTTTTAATTGGAAACTAAAATATGATAGTCGTCGATATATCATTAATAATTCCGAGCTTTCCATTTGGATAGTCGTTCATTCAATTGAGTAACGATTTCAAGTGAGACATATACCAATGTCTGCGTTAATTGCTTCGTTGCAGATTATATGCCCAATGAAATATATTTCTTGTATAATTGCGAAAAATTTCTATAATGAGAAATGTAAATTTTCCAGCAACAATCTTAAACCACTGTAACATTTTAAATGTGAGCAGTTTCAAATATTCGAAATTCGCAACGGCAGACAGAGCAATATGTTATGGCCGAGGTATTGATTTTCCGTATTTGTCAGAACGCCGATGTAGCGCGTGGCGGCGGAGCTGTCACGTTCGATTCGTGACCATTCAGCGTACCCTCCTTTCCGATGTATTGCCATAGTACAGTTTCTACTTGGAATAACGCATTCATGCGTCGAACGATGCAAAGAGGATGCGTGGGCGGTTCGGCGGTCCGGTCACGTGCAATCTCCGAAAAGTGCAAGTATCGGGGAAGAGACTTATGAGGGCTACACGTGAATACGGACCATTATTCCGCGCGATAAAGCAATTTCCTCGCACTCACGGAATTATGTTTCTGCTATTTAGCATCGGTCCGGATATCGAACGGAGGGGGAGAGAGAGAGAGAGAGAAGAATGCCGGAACGAGCCGAAATACGATAGAGAGGGAAAGAAAGGAGGGACGCGATAGAGAAAGCGCGAATAGGGAAAACTCGAACTGACGGAGCAAACTACCGCGAGAGCACGGGAGAGCAAACGGAAATGGAAACTTCATCGATAAGATCGTTGTTGCTGTACGTACGAAACGATTCGTTATCGTCACCGATCGATCACCGCGCGAACCCGCTTTTTAGACTCTACTTTAATCTCGCTCCAGTTGAGGCGACTATTCATTCTCAAAACTTTCGTTTTGCTAAAGATTAAAGATTATACGCAGGCAATTTTATTAGAGAAACGGCGCAACATATGTTCGCCTGGCATTTAGAAATCTCCCGCGCCGCAATTTTTCTACGCAAAGATATATATTTCCTAAATTACAAATTCTTTTTCCTTACACCTTTATAGCCATGTTTGTAGAGAAGCATGCATCTTCGTTATACCGTTCTTCGGTAAATGTGAGCGTACATGTGCTGCCTCTCCTCGCGCTTTCTCCTCTTCCCTGAGAAGTAATCACAATATGTATGAGAGGCGAGAAGACAGAAATCCGTCGAGATACGAAGCTCACATAGCACTCAGTTTTCTCATTGGAATTGCAACTAGTTCGCTTCTATGGCGAACTACATACATTATTCCGTGCCCGGTAAAATTTTAGGCAAAAGATCAAGAGAGTATCCGCACATTTACCAGCAGCTTTCTCTCGTTTTACATTTTTTTTCAGCCGTCGTGCTTATTTGAGATAAACGCGACTTTA